TGGCTGGTAAGCAAGGAGCCGGAAGGGAGTTCCACAAGCGAGAAGTGCAAGATAAGAAACTGTTAGCATAGAATTTACGGCTACATCTAGCCAGCTCGACTGTAAACTGATGAGATCTCGAAGCTGTTGAGCTTAAATTCGAAACGTCTAGCTACCACAGCAAAGAGCTAATCCGAACAATTACCATAAATTTATAGAAAAGGCACAGAGAGGCAACCTTACGGCCGTTGATAAGTGACTGAAGCCGCCAGACCAGAACGAATAATATTGCTGATTCTTCTTTGGATCTTATCAAGGAGCCCAAGGTAAATAACTGAGACACAGGATCATATGTGGCAACAATATTCTAAGCATGGACAAATAGCAGACTTATAGCTATGTAAGATAGATTCTGGAGAGAAACCAGCTATTTTTAACCAAATTTCGAAAAAGAAACAGTTATATCTTTAATCCACCACTCGATTATCTGAGCCTTTTAAATGAGATTTTCTGAACGAAGAGACGCGAATGTTTATTCATCTGTTGATGAACTGCTCAGTTTCAATCAGGAAATATTTGCAGTAAGCACATTTTTAGAGAATAGATACAGCTATTTTGATACAGTTGTTCACCGAATACAGGCGGTCCTGGGTATGACGATAAACTCCATCTAACAGCCAGGCCTCTGATCAAGAGGTTTTGAGGAGCGTGGAACCACCTCTTAATTGCTGGTGTTACTATGTCCACACTGACCCGAGATGGAAGCACCTGTTAGGGTCGCAGCTATGAGCAGATAGTTGACACCCAAACTGGAGTCAAACTATAAAAGTGTAAAAACAGGTTTTAATACAGCAATATATTTTTGTGAAAGATTATTATCAGCAATACATTTTTGAAGAAAAAAATATTACCAACAATACGTTTTTGGAAAAAAGAATATTAGAAGCAGTACGTTTTCGGAAAGGATATTACCAGCAGTGAAAATCTTGTCGGTATTAAATAACCCATTGTGGTTGATATGCCGTAATATAAACCAAAACAAATCAAATAAAAGGCTCTCGAGCCACTCAATATAGAGTGTTATTAATGAGGTAAGGGCGCGCTAGAAGAGAGTCAGAGGGGGAGATTATATGTAGGATAGAAATCGCAGGGATTAAGATTGTAGAGATCAGAGGAGCATCCTTTCAAGTGTCTGTTCCGCAATAAAACTGACTCACTGTACGTGGGCCTGGCGGATCCTAGATGTGAAGGTCTGAACTGACTGAATTGAAGAATGTAGTTCACCCGAACATTTGCCATGTAAATAACGACTGAGTAGCGACGTGACACCAACATTTTGCCTGTGAGGAAAGGGGTTGCTGGGTGGAAAACAATTCATCATGCACAAGGTCGCGAAAACCCTTTTGAACTCTTTGAGGATTGTGGTAGCAATACTCCATTTTTGGTCTTATTTGTCTCTTGTAAAGACAGCGCGTGGCAAGGGGAATCGAGTACTTTCTGGAGTGGTACAAGGCGGCGACCTTGGTTTCTAGCATCTTCAATAATTGATCGCAAAGATGAGTTCCACATGAGGGTCCGGTGTGACTCGGGAGCCTCACTTGAGAGTACAACCATTCATCATGACTAGAGAAAACCCGGGGTCTGCTGTGGGATAATGAAACGTAACTAACTTTAGTGAATAAAACATTCCAGATATCTAAAACTATCATTTCAATAACCAAGAAGCAGAGATGTTAATTTATGCGAGGAAGGTAATGGAGGTAGTCCGTCATCTCTTGTAGATGAGTAGACGAGCAGATAGTTATTACAATGAAGATCCAATCTATGAGACCGACATTGCAGAACTTGGCCCTTTCATTTTCTCCACTTTTATTCATTGGTTAATACAGGGGTTGGTAACCTTTTAGAGAGAGCGAACCAGAAAGCTAGCCAGTCTCGGACGCGGATCATAATATCAAATGCATTGTCCCGGGCGCGGGTCATGATATCAAATGCATTGTCCCAGGCGCGGGTCATGATATCAAATGCATTGTCCCGGGCGTGGGTCATGATATCAAATGCATTGTCTCGGATGCGGATCATAATATCAAATGCATTGTCCCAGGCACGGGTCATGATATCAAATGCATTGTCCCGGGCGTGGATCATAATATCAAATGCATTGTCCCGGGCGTTGGTCATGATATCAAATGCATTGTCTCGGATGCGGATCATAATATCAAATGCATTGTCCCGGGCGGGGGTCATGATATCAAATGCATTGTCCCGGGCACGGGTCATGATATCAAATGCATTGTCCCGGGCGTGGGTCATGATATCAAATGCATTGTCCCGGGCGCGGGTCATGATATCAAATGCATTGTCCCGGGCGCGGGTCATGATATCAAATGCATTGTCTCGGATGCGGATCATAATATCAAATGGATTGTCCCGGGCACGGGTCATGATATCAAATGCATTGTCCCGGGCGTGGGTCATAATATCAAATTCATTGTCCCCGGCGTGGGTCATGATATCAAATGCATTGTCTCGGATGCGGATCATAATATCAAATGCATTGTCCCGGGCACGGGTCATGATATCAAATGCATTCTCCCGGGCGCGGGTCATAATATCAAATGCATTGTCCCGGGCGCGGGTCATAATATCAAATGCATTGTCCCAGGGCGCGGGTCATGATATCAAATGTACTACAATAAATTGTCTTGATCTCAGACAGTTCCGTCCAGAATGATGCCTTTGTCAGGAGGTTTAAAGAAAAAAGCAATGAAGTTAATGTTATATATATATATGTTTAAACAATGTTCCATATTTTACTGCTGGAATAACAAGATAACACCGGACACAATAAAAAAAAATGAAAATTTTTTACAACAAACTAAAAATTAATAATCACCAATTATTTAATGAGAAAATTGTGTCTGTTTATAGTTTGATAACTTCTACACATCAGGTGAAATATTTGTCAATGTCAGAAGTCAAATATCATTCAGGTGGTCATCACCCAAACTTGTTCTTAAACGACGTTTAGTAGATTTCATGTAGTTTCAAATAATAATAACAATAATACGTTCATTTTCGTATTATTCAATATGCTTTTATATTTTCTGCTTTGGCAAAACATATTTCTTGTAGAAGTCAGCAGTGGATTCGCAATTACATTTTGATTTCAAAAATTCGTTTGCATTGTAAGTAAATTAACACCATCTGATATTTTTTCCACTTACTCTACGAATTAATCATATCCATCCCATCAACAAAGAAGCTGTACTCTTCAAGAAACATTTTAATACAACTGAAACCCTACCAACAAAAAACGAATACGCCAAACGAATAAAACAGAAATCAAAACAACTTGACCAAATGAAACTACGAAAAACAAAAAAAAAATCTGTGAGGACAAGGCGTTGCATGTCAAATACCTGAAAAAAGAACGAAAGAGGCAGATGTGGACAAATAGAAAAAATATCAGTTGCTCAAAAACATCGGATAAAAAGCTGAGACAAAAGGCCTAATTTTTGCAGCTCAGAGCCAAAGCCTTGCAACCAGATCCTATCACTGTTATATAATCAAGGATGGACCTAACCATAAATGAAGAAAATGCCGAAAAGATGTTGAATCTGTTGGCCATATTATCTCAAGATGTCCATAACTAGCAAAAAATGAATATACCCACAGACAAAACAAGGTAGCAGCATGAAAGTTATGCAAGAAGCACAAAATCGAAACCACTGAGAGATGGGATGAGCACCGTATAGAGTTACCCAAAATAACGATGTAACTATCCTCTGGGACATGCCAATTCAAACTGACAGGGAAATAAAAGCCAACAAACCTGATATTATAACAAATATGACAGAACAAAGAATGGGCGGGATAGTAAGTGGACGAACGTTGCCTAGAACTACAAAAGATAGGAAGTTGTGGAGAGCCATGAGCAACATACTTAATGAGCGTCTATAAATGACTGCCTGAATAGGGGCTGGTAGGGATAGTAACGGGATGAACATTGATTAGAACTACAAAGGAAGTTGTGGAGAGCCATGATCAGCTTACCTAACGAACTTTTGCAAATGGATGATAAAACAGAGATTAACAGATATAGTAAGGTGATCGACATTGCTTTATGTAACAAATGATAGGAAGTTATGGAGAGCCATGATCCCACATATCCTGAAGGATCACAGCCCTTAAAACATGACTGCTTCACATGTGATAATTCTTGATGGATCAGAAGGGACCAGTAATAATCTTTAAAATATGTGAAATTACCACTGCAAAGAACAAAATGTATATTCGGACTTCATGGAAATATGAAGTGTTTTGTTGAAAGGAAAAATGTAGTTTGATTGTTTCAATAATTATGGTGATTTTCTAAGCAAGGCCAAATGTGTCAGTAATTAAGGCTATCTAGGTTAATAGATAAAACAGTGTTGACCTGTGTACTTACAACGGAACCACGCCCGAATTTCCACCAGTCAATGATTACCCCAAATTGAGTCCCAATTCTCGTTCACAGCGGTGTGCACCGAAAACTGGAAGAAATACCTCTGCATGTTCACAAGGTTTCTTTTTACAGATTATGTAATAAATTTTTTGCGTTATTGATAAGGTTTGTGTTTTATTGTTGTGTTGATTGGTGATATGCGATGTAATTGAGTTATTATCAGATAAATAACGGCGTGATAATTATAGAAGTTGTGTCACCAACTATTCTTATTTAAATTATCCTTTTTAGATAAAAATTCTCCAAGTGGACAAGCGAATTCATAGACAACGTTGATGTTTTGATTTTTTTTATATCATTCGTAATGATCATGTTGGATATTTTTCGGGATACTTCTTTTTTTTTTAAATATAAGGAATTTAATTTGTTTTTTTCTTCAGGTGATATATTTCTGTGTATTATGCTTTCTATATTTTTTCGTTTCGTTTGTGGTTTCTGTGGAGTTGATTTCTACGGAAAAGTTTATTGATGTTTTTATCATAATTATGATTGTTCATTTTTCTTGTTTCTAATGTTAGATAGATAGATAGATAGATAGATAGATAGATAGATAGATAGATAGGAACTTTTTTTTTCTATGGTTAAATAGATAGATGGATAGGAACAGAATGAGATAGATAGATAGATAGATAGATAGATAGATAGATAGATAGATAGATAGATAGATAGGAACAGAATGAGATAGATAGATAGATAGATATGAACAGACTGTGATAGATTATCCACAACGTGGTTAAGAAAATTATTGTTAATTAGTGAACGGGAACCGGTGATTCAACGCGATATGGCCGTAAGCTGGATGTTTACAAGTGTTGGATAGATGATGTGTAGGTAAATATAAACACACTGAGATAGAATGGGTGCTGAAAAGTTCACATTAATCCATTTCCCAGAGTCTGAATAAACAAACAAACACCAGATTTTATTATGTTAGAATTTTTTAGATGAAGAATTATCATTCTTACATTTCTTTTAGTTCAGGTTTAGATCCTAATCTTTGTTGTTTATACCCTGACTATTTCAGCCGTTGCAAACACCGGTCTTCTTTAAGTGTTTGCTATTACCTCAGTTTATGAGATGAGAATTATCGTTAGTTTTCTACTTCTTTTTCACAAACTGTGATAGATAGATAGATAGATAGATAGATAGATAGATAGATAGATAGATAGATACGAATAGACTGGGATAGATAGATAGATAATAAAAGAATGTACTGAGATAGACGTATTTACTGAACGTACTGAGACAGATAGATAGATAGATAGATGAAGATAGATAGATGGATAGATGGATGATGAATAATGAACGAAATCATATAGATAGATATTAATATAATGTACTGAGACAAACAGACAGACACATAGATAGATAGATAGATAGATAGATAGATAGATAGATAGATAGATAGATAGATAGATAGATAGATTAATTATAAGATGGCCTTCGATCCTGGGTTGTTCCCATGCTGGTTAGTAGTGCAGCCGGTCAACTAATGGTTATTTTCTTTCCCGCTTTGTTCCTTCACATGCTTCTGTCCCCGTTGTGTTCCTTGATCACAGGGCAGTGACGATCGAATTTCGTCTGTATTTGAGCCCTGGATCGAGCAGCGGTGAAACCGTGCTACAAAAAAAAAACGCTTCCGCTGGCGAAAATAAGAATAACATAACAAAATAACGAAGCAGGTCGCCGGATTAATTTTCACTTGGTTCATACAGTTTTTGATACAACGAAATTAATCCTCCCCGTTAAACTCTCTATCGTGACACTTGGTCTTTTTCTTCTAGAACTTGGAATGGGTTCAAACAACAAAAAAAGAGGTCGGTAGGGAATTCTCTCGGTACCAGACCACATACAGTTCAGTGTCTCCTTCGTCCGCTGCTGTCTCATCTCGTCTCGTCTGCGTCTCTTTCCGTCTTTCGCTCCAATCGCTGGGTCGCTTAAGCGCTGTTTATATGTATTTCCCTGACTCCCACCGCACCTTAGGACTCATTAATATTCATATTAATTATTTTTTCCAATTTTAGAGAAACGCCATTGACTTTCGACCAAAGCGGTCAGTTATTCAAAACAATACATTCTTCGAGAATAAAACTTGTCTATCATTTCTTTCTATACCCGGACGACAATCGACCCGCGATCGGTTACTTATTCAAAACAATACATTCTTCGACAGTAAAATTTGTCTATCATTTCTTTATATATCCTGACTACGATCGACCTGCGATCGGTTACTTATTCAAAACAATACATTCTTCAACAGTAAAATTTGTCTATCATTTCTTTCTATACCCGGACGACAATCGACCCGCGATCGGTTACTTATTCAAAACAATACATTCTTCGACAGTTATTACAATTTTATTTGCTTTTCGGCTGACAATTACATTCTACATTTCATATGTCAGATTGTTTATATTATACATTCCTATTCCATTCTGAGTTCCTGGTTATCAGAAAGAAAAAAAATCTCCATTTCTTTCTCGCTTCATATTTAAGTTCATGTTTTCTTCTTTTCACCTCTCAATTCGGAGTTTACACATGAACCTTTTTAATCCTTATTTTATACTATCAGTGTCACAGATATGAAAATTCCGATAGATAGATATGAACAAGGATAGTTATGAATAAACTACGATAGCGAGATATTAATAAACTGATATATATTTTTCGTCTAATAAACCCAACTAAAACTGAACTGGGTAAAATAAGCGAAGAAATATTGAAAAAACTATGCGACTAATTAAGGATTGCCACACAAGTCAATCAATGGAAGGATACAAGTGAGTATATTTCTTGTTTCCACAAAATCACAAATAAAAACAAATATGTATTTATAAAATACGGCATTAAAAACTTTTATCCATCTATATTTGAATAAGGTCTGCTGAAGTCTTTGTACTTCACCAAAGACTTTGTAAAGATAACATCTGATCAAACTGAAATAATTTTACATTGCCGCAAATCCATTTTATTGCATATTAAAGTAATCTGGGTTTAAAAAAATAAAAAAAGACGGTTTCGATGTACCACAAAGTTTCGTTTGATGGGGCTGAGGTTTCGAAGTTAATAAACTTATATATATCTTATATGAAATTAACAAAATTGTTCATATAAACAACCGTGGTCTGTATAGAGATGACAGCCTGATGATAGCGCCAGACAACAGAAGAACAAATGACAATATAAGAAAGCACTTTTGAAACTCTTCAAAAAGTCTTGGCTTTGAAAAAAAGAAGTCGAATAAAAAAGTTGTCAACTATCTGGACGTAGAATTAAAATCTACAAGCTGAAAGTATCCTTCCATACATGAAACCCAACGCAAAAATTAAAATCGGTGAATATTAGATCTAACCACCTTGCGAACATATTAAAGCATATCTCTAAAGGAATAGTGTCTTGGTTATCTAGAAAATCTTCTAGTAAAATAAATTTTGAGAAAAAAAGAAAGAATATGAGAATAACTTAAAAGTAGAGTGTCACAAAACCCAACTAAAATTCAAACCTCAAATTAAACAAGATATAAAGAGCAATTCGAGGGAAAGAAAAAATAACATTAGTTTTAACCCCTCCTTTTAACTTAGATGTAAAATGTAAAATAGGGAAAATATTTTTCAATCTATGTATTAAACACTTTCCCAAAAATTCAGAATTACATAAGATATTCAATAAAACACAATTAAATTAAGCTACAGCTGCACTAGTAATTTAGAAACAATAATAACATTTCAAAACTAATTAACATTATTTAACACTATTAATTTATGCAAATGGCGAAATAAGAATAGCTGTCCATTAGATGGAGCTTGTAAAACCGAAACAATAATATATAAAGAAGAAGTAACAGATATTAATGGCCAGAATAAAACATACATAGGATGTACTGAAAATACTTCTAAACATTATTGGTAGGTACGGACGTGATGGAAACGTGGAAACTGACAATAAAAAACATTTTAGATGCCTCTGTAGAGAATTTAAGCTAATTCCAGAACACTAATCGATTCCAGAATAGCAAGAACAGTTCCGCAAAGAGTAGAGCAGACCATGGTTAAGGAAAAAGAATCCATCATATCCAATGAAGTAATCCTCAATTACAACGAATTGGAACTTTTCCTAGATCGAATAACATCAGAAGCGTATAGAAATAGAATTCATCAAGACTTGAACAAGCCGAAATCTGTGAGGGTCAAGGCATGCCAAATACAAAAGCTACATTACCTGAAAGATCATGGTATGAAATACAATATCTTTGAGCAGTAGTTGTCAAAATCAGTAGACAACAATTAGGTATTTCCAAGGAACCAATCTAGAACTGAGAACCGCCATCAGACAAGTCCCGTTCTTAAGTCACAAACCCAATTAAGTTAGGCAGCTTTAAGTATCCCTAAAGAGGAGAGTGATGAGTTGAGATCGAAGCTAGGACAGGCACTGGAGAAAGCCATGCCTCTCCAAAGACTAGACAATTTTCAGCATCCTTCAGAACAATACGGTTATTATCCAACTGTCGTGTCAAACACTTCACAGAAGAAAACATGATCTGGAACAGTGTGTATTCAATCCCCAGCTGTTGTGGTAAACAATACAAGGTGTGGGGAGCGACCAACCGCCCCTTAAGAGTAAGACCGGAGAGACATCAAATGGCTTTACTTTGGCAAGAGATATTGAAACCATGGATTATCTTGTATAGAGAGCAAATAGTTGATAATCAACGCTTATGGAATGTAGCCAAGATAACAGACAGGGAACAATACTGAAGGATGAGAAAATTGAAAGAATAAGCATACATAAGAATAAACGTACAACTTCCTCAGTAGACCAAGCATAGAAGTGAGCACTAATATGATTAACATAGAAAAGACACTCAAAGTTTTTACCATCTTAGAACAGACATCAGGTTTAGGGCTCCATAATTACACTACTGTCTTGTCCAAGAGACATATGATTGAATGGATTAAAATTAAAATATATATGGCGTCATAACAGTTGGGAGACCAATCCTTTCCTTGAGTAGTGCGGGAAAAATATGTAACGTTGGTTTATCAGAAGAAACAGGTAAAAGGATTCGAGAGTTTTTACTGATATGAGATGCCTTTTTAGCATGAAAAATGATAAGGGGACAATGTATTGAATTTATGTTCAAATTTTCGAGGTTACAAAAAAAAGGGTCAACTGAAGAAGGCTGGAAACCACAAACGAAACGCTGTAAGTATAACAACCACGATTAGTATATTAGTTCAAACGCGACGGTTTGTAATAAAAATATTTTGGAAGGGTTCATCAGGTCGAACAATTTTCTGCACCCTCTCGTGGACAGGTTTAAAAACATAGAAATATATAGACATGGAGTCCTGAAATAGAGACTGATACGACAATGAACAGGTTAAGATGGATAATATATTTCTATCGATATAGTAATTTGGACTGGAGACCTTCATGCGTTCTGGGAATGACAATAAACTACATACGCGTCTTGGGTATGATGATAAACTACATCCAACAGAAAGGCCTCTGACCAGGAGGTTTTGAGAAGTGTAGAACCACCTCTTGACTGCTGGTGTTCCCAGGTCCGCCCTGAGCCGGGTTGGTAACAACTGTTAGGGCCCCACCTATGGGCAAGTAGTTAACCCCTAGACTGGAGCCAAAACACTATGAAAGTGTAAAAATAGGTTTTAATACTAACAATATATTTTTTGCAAAAATAATTACCAGCAATACATTTTTGAAAAAAAAGTATGACCAGCAGTAAAACTCTCGGTATGAAATAACCAACTGAGGTTGATATGATGTAAAAATAAAAACAAAACAAAAAAAATATATTGAGATAGATAGATAGATAGATAGATAGATAGATAAAAAATATTAGCAGCAATAAAAATCTTGTCGGCATTAAATACCCCATTGAGGTTGATACGTCGTAAAACAAACCAAACCAATATATGCCGAGATAGATAGATAGATAGATAGATAGATAGATAAAAAATATTAGCAGCAATAAAAATCTTGTCGGCATTAAATAACCCACTGAGGTTGATATGCGGTAAAACAAACGAAACCAAATAAAACCTGCCATTCGTTAATTAATGTTTTATTAAATATAATGGGCATGGAATATCTGTCATGATTTTTAGATGTCGTAGAAAGATGTAAAATAATTTGCCGTAACTGTGTGTAATATTCCGAGATCTTTCGACTAATATTGATCATTTTCAAGGCAAGGGGAAACAATCGAGAAATAGCAGATGGAGCATTGATCCGTTGAAACAGCATGAGTTTGAGATGAAGAAGAGTTCGCATTTCATAGTGATGGAGTAGACACTTACGAAAAGCCTCAACCGACATTCTGTGTCAGTTTTTATTTAATAACAGATGTTTAAACTTCTGACCGATATATATATATATATATATATATATATATATATATATATAGATTACGATAAATAATGAACATAGATGTATAGATATATTGATATGAATAAATTGTGATAGATAGATACATAGATAGATAGATAGATAGATATGAATAAATTGTGACAGATAGATAGATAGATAGGTATGAATAAATTGTGACAGATAGATATGAATAAATTGTGATAGATAGATAGTGCGATGAGTAGATTGTCGAATATTTTGAATTTCGCGCATGCGTGTTGTTTTATTTTTATTTTTCTGAGTTCACAGTATAGTAGAGTCATGTGGACACCCTCTGTGAGAAAAAGAGCACCATGACGCAATTAACTCCGCCAGAAACTTGGAAATGACATGCTGTACTTCTTGGAAATCGCGCCAGAAGCTCAAGTGTTTCGGTACCAATCTGAGGAAAATGCATAAAGTTCGGAAAGAGTTCGATGAATCTAATGGTGATTACGAAGGTGCTTGGAGTGATCACTAGTGATGTCGAAGTTATGCCTCCATTCATCTTCCCACATCTTCAACACGGAAGTAGTTCTGCCATTGTTCAAGAAGGTGTCTGCTGGAAGACCCTATATCGGCAACAAAACTCTGTACCATGCTACACAAGCAGAACAAAATGGCTGTTAGACAATTTCTGCAACCACGTCAGCACTTAAATCTGGCCATCTAACTCACTAGACTGTAACCTCCTTGTGGGGGGCTCAGTTGAAGGAGAGACCAACAGAACACCTTGTAACACCAAAGATGAATTGAAAGCAAGGTTTATGGTAGCATTCACCAACTTACACAAGGAAACTGTCCAGAAGAGTTTCAGGAGATTTCGAAGTCGTCTGGAGATTGTAGTTGAAGCTAATTATGATTTTATTGAATAAATATACTCTTTAGTATTTCAAGAAAATTTGTGTAATTTTGGTTGATATATCTGTTAAAATGAGATGTCATTGTTATTTTCATTTTTGCGTCATTTAGACGACAATTTATCCATCGTACATTGCATATATAAATAAACTGTGATAGATAGATAGATAGATAGATAGTAAGCAAAGATAAAGATTTACAGATTATAATAGATATGAAGCGACTGTGATAGATAGATAGATAGATAGATAGATAGATAGATAGATAGATAGATAGATAGATAGATAGATAGATAGATAGATACTAAATACTAAATTCAAACAACACTTGTATTACGGCCGATTTTTTATTTGACGAACAGAAATGCTGAAACATTTCCGAGTTTTTCTCTATTTCCATTGACAGGATTCCTTGATAATTGAAAGAATTCCAGTAGTAATGGCAATACATTCAAAGGCAATTTGAAGTCAGAAATTTCGCCTGACAACAAAATGGAGAATGTTTTCTATGGCTTCGGTAAGCTTGTCATTCATACTTAACTCATTTACCTGGTGAATGTGTTGGCAACTCGGAGAGAAAATCATTAAATCCTTGTTCTATTTTTTATGCATTTTCGGACAAAAAAAAATCTTATAAAAGATGTCAAAATCAAATCAAATACAAACAGATAAAAAAAAACAATTGAAATCAACTTTAATGCTTATAGTTTTAACTTTATAATGGATCATAGGCGATCAGCTTCTCAAAAGAAAAATGAGAAATAATTTTATTTTATTTAATTAGGTTTCCGCTGCTATTTACCTTGAGTACCTTGATACGATCCAAAGAAAAATCTGCATTATCATTGGTGCTGATCTGGCAGCTCTGCTCCAGACACTTTCCCAGCGCCGTAATATTGCCTCTTTATGTCTTTTCCTATAAATAATTTCATGGTAATCGCTATGATACTTAAGAATTGTGGGGTTTTTTATTACTAACATTATTTTTAGTTTCTTGGAAATAGTTATGTTTCATATCGTAATTACTCATTGGGGCTAGTTTTAAAATTGTTGTTTTATTATAGACAATGAATTATACATATGGAGACTATTTAGGATTTTCATAGAGACAATGTGGCATTAGGGTGGATGTAGTAAGAAAGGTAAGTAAGAATGCGTTGTTTTGGTGTTAAGGTGTTAGGAATATTGTTTGCATGTTTGGGTCAACGTTTGTGAGTAGTTAGGTTTAAAGTTAAGACAGAAGAAGACCGTCCTTTTCCCCAATCCCCATTTTTTGCTTTGTGCCACATTTTCTGCTTTTTAATACGGAAATAAATGTCGTTCTTCTCTGTGGTATACCTCCACGTTATGAATTTAAGCGCAGTACTAGATTAGCGGAAAGGTCTCATTAATTTACAGTTCAGCTGGCTAGATGTAACCGTAAGTTCTATGCTAACAGTTTCTTTTCTCGCACTTCTTGCTTGTGGAACTCCCTTCCGGCTCCATGATTTCCAGATAACTTTAATCTGAAAAAAATTAAATGCAATGTCAGTCGATATCTACTGCCCACCTCCCTTCTCTTTCTACTCACCATTAATGTTTCTGTTCCTAATTCCTCCATACACTGTAACCCCTTGTGTCCTAGTGGCTTCACTGCCTTGATTACAATTAAAAAGAAACGTTTGTTAAATTTTTTTAATATTTATTATTCAGTCCAAAGTAGATTATGAAGTTTCTACTATTCACAACAAAAAAAAACAAAAAAAAACAAATCCACTGGTAAATTACAAATTAGTGACCTCAATTTTCTACACGCAACAGGTGAAAGCACGTGCGATACCCTTCCCTCATCAGCCGCCAACCAGAAGAGGTAACGCAGTTTTTGTGGCTAAGGCGGTACTGCCACCCCTGGCACCACCAGCAGTTTTGCCACCGGACAGGGTATTCTTTTACATTGTAGACGCGTCAGTCTCTTTATGCAACTGCAAGTCAGATTTTCCAACGTTGTGTTCAATAAAAGCGTTTGCTTTTGGTCGTTAAACAAAACACAACGCGCTCGTAGTGACCGTTATCAATGAAGTACAATGAAAGATAAACAGATGTGTTTCATGTCGGAAATACCATTGTGTTGTGAGCATGGTTTTTATTAAATATGGTTTTAATTAAATTTGTTTATTTATTTTTTATCATATTAAAGTCAGACAGCAATAATGAGTTGGCCAAAAAGTTTGTCCGTCCTGTGTATGACGATAAACTGCATCCGCGTTCTGGGTAATACGATAAAATACGCCAGGCCCCTGATCAGTAGGTTTTGAGGAGCGTGGAACCACTTCTTAATTGCTGTTGTTTCTAGGTCCACTCTGACCCGGTAAACTGGGGTAAAAAGCATTATAAAAGTGTAAAAATTGGTTTTAATACCAGAAATACTTTGTAAAAATTATTACCAGAAATAAATTTTCAGCTATACGTTTTTGAAAAAATAATATTACCAGCTATATGTTTTTGAAAATAATATTACCAGCTATACATTTTTGAGGAAAAAAATATTACCAGAAATAGATTTTTGACAAAATAAAAATATTACCAGGAAAAAAAGTTGTCGGCATTAAATAACCCATTGAGGTTGATATGCTGTAAAACAAAACAAACCAAACCAAAGCAAACCAGAAAGTTTGTCGGTTTATTTTCTACTTAATAAGCGAGAGAACTTAACCCAGTAAGTTATATTACTGGAATGCATTATAAAGAAAGAGGGCTTGGAAAAATTAACACTCACAAGACAAGGGAATGAAAAAATATGATCAATATAATGATAAAACAAGAAAATACAACATTAATTAGTGTTGTATTAACACGGACTGCATTTGTACTTCAAGATCCTGCCACATAAATGAGTGAGTCCAGCGGGGATCTATTCTTGGACCGACGTTACATGGACAGTTTTATCAAATAAAATTTCAGAAAAGTATATTTTATTTTTGGAAGATTTTTTTTTTTTAATAAAGGGAAATACGTTGTGATGAAAGACAACTAAAAAGGGCGCTAAACAACTATTTTAGCAAAAAAAACAAACCAAAAAAAAAAAAAAGCCCAAACCTTCCTGTCAATTTAGCTTTTGAAATACAGCAAAGTGTTTTGCTTATTGGAAATATTCAATTTAATCTATTGGCTTGAAATTAAAACTAAAATAAGCTTCAAGGAAGATTTTCCATTTTAAAAAAATCATTTTAAATCTTAGGTTTCTTTATTTTTATTTATTTATTTTTGTAGATACATAATTTAGATTGTTTAACCCCCCCACCCCACCCCACCCCACACACACAATAATAATTTTGTCTGGATTTCTGGGATAAGGAGTTATCATTATTTACACTATTTATATTTGGACTATTCTCCTCATCTTTTTTGTTGTTATCACAACGTTTTGATCGTTGTGCCCTCCGGCCTTCCTCAGGTGTATAACGATCTGGGCAACCTACAGGGAATTCTGAACCGAACTCTTTATTTAATCACGGAGGTAGAGTGTTCTCTCTCTACTGCTCACGTCTAGGAATATCGTCTAGTTCTTATTTTTATTTAGAACTGTTCAATTATCGCTTGCCCGTTTCTACTGGGTTCAACTACACACTGCTACGTGGTACGACATCGGAAGGTAGCCCTGTTCAACCTGATGAAATCTGCTATACCACGTCTTGGACGTCCGAATGGCTGGAACATGATCCAAGTAACCCTTCCGAATGATTTTTGTCGCAGTTCCGACGCTTACTCCTTTTCGAATATTCATAGAGCATAATATGGCGAATGTGCAATTTTTCATCCTCCATCTTTAAAGAGTTGATTTATGGAACAAAACGTCAACATTCAACAAAGTCTGACTCGCAACTGAACGATGCAAGGTTTCAATCTAAAACACAACAGAAATCGGAACGCAAATAAACTCCGTTATCGAGTTGCGGTCGTTCTATATTGACAATGAAGATCACATATGCACTTTTGAAATGTTCTGATACATTGTACTGATCGATTTGTTCATGGATTTTAATTTTATGAAACTCTTAACTCTTATCAAATTAACCACAGCGTTTTTAAGGAACTAGAATTTTTGGCAAGACGCTGGCAATTCTCTTTTTTATAGGACTTTATTGTTAACAATACTTTATGAGAAAATTTCTTTTTTCCTTTTTTACAGCGAAGAATAAATTCTTAGGATTTCTTACTCTTGAGCATGCAACATACAACTGGCCATGTGTAAATATTTCCTTCTGGAACCAAATTCGAATTTTCTGAAGCGTTTGGCCTTAGGATTTGTTTATAGTTTTCGCAAATATAGGGTGAACTGGATTCTTGTATATAAAAACTTAAAGAAAAGATATGCAAAAAACAATATTGCATTTTTATTAAATAAGCATGGCGGACTCGTAATGTGAGTTCACGTGAATAAATGAAAAGTAACAACAAGAACTAATATATATGTACAAACAAATAATAATGTATTAATAATAAAGGGTTACAAGTGACAAAGACAGTGATGTGTGTGTCAAATGAATGTGAAAAACTAATGGTCCAAAGTATTTTTAGTGAATGAATGTACGTGTGTGTGTGTGTGTGTGTGTGTGTGTGTGTGTGTGTGTGTGTGTGTGTGTGTGTGTGTTGTTTATACGTTTCCCTAGAGAAAGCGCGTTCTCCGCGAGAGGTTACATGTTGGCGGATAAGGTCGGAAGAGAGTGATAAAAAATTATCGCAGAGTATTTATAGTCCTGAGAGCGTCTCCTCGGAGCAGTTTCGAAAATTATAAGAAAGTAACCCGACACATTTCTCTTCAAAAGGATGTGAACATGGCATTCAGCAATTTCCTTTTCTTTATTATCAGCGAATTGCGACAATACAGTGGATAATGTTCCCGCTTCCTTCCTCCATTGTCTAAGGATTCGATTTGCCATCACTTAGACCTGACAGACTACAACTATTTAACCCATAGTTGGAAAAGGAATAAATAGATTTCCAAAATTTATATTGATTAATAATGCATTTCTAAAAACTTTTAGTATTCTATTTAACAGCAAACTAGAAAAACAACTAATAGGTTTGCACTTTTTTGAAGGGAGATAATGTAATTTTAACACGTAACCGAAAAAAAGGATAAATGTATTTATGCCTTTTCCGAAACTATTAGTGTGCTTTTTAACTCATAGTTACAAGAACAAATAAATTCGTACCTTTCCCAAGGGCGTTAGGGTGATTTTTAACCTGTAGCTGGAAAACGAATTAATGTAGTCAATCCTTTTCCAGAACTATTAGTGTATTATTTAACGAACAACTATTAGAAAATATAAATTCGCACCTTTCCCAAGGGGGTTAGTATGATTTTTAACTCATAGATGGAAAAAGTATTGGATTAGTGTCTTTTCCAAAACAATTAGTGCGCCCCTTAACGAGGTGTTAGAACAACAAGAAACACATTTACGCTGTTCCCAACGTCTTTAGTGCGATTTCCAACACCTAGTTGGAAAAAAGAAGAAATTTATTCATGTCTTTTCCAAGGCTGTTAGTTTGTTATTTTGACTCATGGCTAGAAGAACAGATTCGTATTTTTCCCAGGGGCATTA